TAAACGAACTTTATGGTTGTACGGCAGTGAAGCATCAGTGGCAACACTGATGTTGCTGTCATTGATGATGATGATGATGATGACCCGATCAACTCATTGTGGTTGAAGTAAAGAGCTTGATGTTCATAAACAGAACGGGGCCCAACTAACGTAGGCCGGTAATATCAAAGTAGGTGTGACGCGCAGTACCTATGAGATGTTTTCACTAAGTTAAGGATAATGTGTTCAAAAGGTTTCTGTGAGCAGCTCCACAGATAAAGGGAAGGGCACGTCGTAACGCATCACCCCTCGGATTCTCCCAAGCTTTATGTTCCGACACCCCAGCCAAAAGATAAAAAGTCGGAAAACGCGGACGCCACCCACTAAGACAGTCTTCATAAGTGGTCTCTCCACGCTTTTCAAAAATTATATACATAAGCAAACAAAGCATTTGCGGGCGTATAACGAGATAAGTTCTGTGCGGACGTGTAAATGAACTTTGCTTTATCAGGCTTTCAGGAACAGTGTCTTCGTGCCTCGAAATCCAAAGACTTGGGCGTATTCCATCATTATAAATTTCCGATGGCATCTTCTCCGAAAAGAAGCCAATCTCACATACTGAAAGGTGTTCTCGCACAGGTTCTCCTTTGAAGGATCATCTTGGACATCTCAGAACACGCCTTAGTGACTTTTTGCATCGGTTGAAGTCGCCTGTCTATCCAGTGGTCAAACAAAGAGGTCGAATCTCTTTTATAACCTGTTTGACCAGTATTTGCTGGCTTGGAATTCGAAGTATATGCCCAATCCTACCACTGAACACACCCTAATCTGGTGCATCGTTCGTCTAACTGGATAGCCTTCTTCTTGATGATTTTAGGGTCCCTTTTTCGCTCCATTTTAGGGATCTTTTTCAGATAAGCCCCGTCACATTTCGCCAGCTCCAATTTAATGCACGCACACAACCGTGACTTTATCCGCATCTAGGCTCATTTTGTGCAAAAAATTTCTCAGTTCGGAAGTAAAACCTTAGGTGAACTGCCTGGCGCTTGCAACTCTCGTTCATGACAAGGAGACGGTAATACGCTTTTTGCAAAGCCACGGAGTGATTCATCACCAATGTCTATGCAACAATGGCCACTAAATGACACTTTCAACTGTTTCAGATAGGTGGAGGTGTAATGCCCGACAGTGTCAGCAAGCCATCGGTCTTCGAAAGGGAACTTAGCTGGAGCGGTCTAGGGTGGATTTTAGGACAGTAATTCTATGCATTTATTGCTGGTCCAAAAATTTGGCAAAATTCAAATTCTGCTCAGAGGAATTATCTATTAGTCACACGACCGCTGTTGACTGGAAGTTTGAGCCTGACGGATTCTGTAGACTCCAACGGTTAGCCGTACCGAAAACTTTGTGGATCTTTGACAGATGCAGAATAAACACCGATGCGGCACACACCGGTCTTTAGTGGATAACTACTTGTGTGAGTTCGTTTGGAGGCAAAGGTACCGAAAAACGGACCTTTTTTATGCAAATTATTAGTGAAGTCCCAAATTCTTCAATAAAAACTAAAAGTACAAATTTCATATCCTCTTTTTTCTAATCTTTTTTGGGTGGCGGGGGTTAATGTTTTGGCGGGGCTTATCTGGAGGAGACCCCATTTTAGGTGTGTTCATATTTTGCAGCTGATATTTTTTATAGCCCAATTCACTTTGAAGTAAAAATTAATCGAAACAACTCTAATAAGTATCGCAGGTACCTGCATGTAACGGGTAAATCCGCAAGAAAATTGAGTCGCTCGAAAAAATTCCAAAAGAAGGGAGAGTGAAAGTGGACTATTGTTCCATGAACCTCAGTACGCGGTCGATAAACAAGCTGGTGTCACGTGACACATATCACGTGGCTCCAATTCAGTCGAAACAACATTGTGTATTCAAAGCCTCTCAAATATACAGTCGATAGCCCTTCGCATCTGGTGCGTTTGTGGGTCTCTGCTAGTGGTTGACTCCTTCCACTGTGTCCAGAGTACGCATTCAGTTTGCTTATTTTTTATTCAGGTCAACTCTGCATTCTGAGCCATCACATAGGCACTCGTCTGACTCGTGATTTGAAGGCTTCAGTAAATCTGTGACTCAATGAGCTAGCCTAGGGGTTGTCCATGTGACACTGGTAAAACTCCACACCCAGTTGGTCAGTGGATGGAGGTCAGACTAAGGGTCTCCTGACCATCCGGCTTGCATCATAAGCCACGGCATTCTCCTAAGAAAACGAATTACTTTGGTATTCATACGTCAACCAGTGGAAATGCACGAACCACTGTTGCGCTGCGGTCACGCTTCTGGGCTCTAGTCGTTCTACTGTCTAGATTTCGACGCTCTGGCAGTATCACAACGCAAACGAACAAATATCAATAGTTTCATGTGGTTAGGCGAAAACGGTCTACAATGACAAACAAGTTTCCCCCAACAGTACTGGGTTTCGAAGCAGTAGCCATCAGCTGCAGATGACGAAGCTCTGTTCTCGGGTGCCGAACTTTCTGAACCACTCACGTCGATCTAGATCATGCTCTTGTCTGGTAAACTTCCGATCGATGTGCGGAAGGGACTTCGTGTGACCGTCGAAGAACTCTTTGGCCCACATGTTAAACAACTTTATGAGAGCAGCCCATGTGAAGTCTTGGAAGCTATATCCTTAGTCGGCGTCAGTCGTAACTGGGACGAGACAAACGCTGCCACTCAAACGGCAGGAAACAAAGAATATGATGTTTCTAGGCGCCCACTAGACAAGTACCGCACCTCAGAACAATAAGGCATCAGATCGAGAGTAATCTGAGAGCAGATGGAGGAACCTGGTGGAGTTAGCAGGCTTCTTAAACGGAGGAAGACAGTGCAGTTTCGGACACATACAGACGGGAGAAAGCAGTTGAATATTGCGAGCAAGTAATTATCTACCTCCGCACCCACTTCTTTCATTCGATTCGGTCTACTTGGGCTATGGTCTGTGAGTTACGACCCCACCTTAGTTTCTCGAACGCTAATACGTCTTTCTGCATCGAAACGCCGCCAGACCGCAGAGTCAGATAAGCTCTTAGCAGCGGTGGCAGATTTTTTCTTGTTTTGAGTAGGTTTTTCGAGCAATTTGGGAACAACAATGAGTCCAGTCTTACCCCAGTCTCACAGGTGGCTACTGACTACGATAATACTACAACATCATTCAAGGCAAAACTCCGAGAGCATCAGAGAGTATTTGGACCAGGTAGGTAGGACACTGCCCACATGTTCACATCAAACCAAGTGCTCGATTGGAATCATCATCATCATCATCATCAAGGACAGCAACACTAGTGTTGCCACTGATGCTTCACTTCACACATGTTAATGACCAACAATGACGGATTTCTTTGACTTCGAAGGGGCCTTCGACTAAGCGGACAGATTGGCTTTCCTACATATGCCTGGCCAAACGAGAATGTCCTCCACGTGCTTTTTTACTGACAATCGTCTGGTCACATTAGGGTGTAAAATGAGTTGTAGCATGCACGTAGTAAAGTGGTCTGTGAGCGAGTACTAGATAGTGAAGCAAATTCACTTGAAAAACAGATAAGGTTTTCCAGGCGAAGGGGTTAGCGCGTATACCAAGAATGCCTGACCACTGTCTGACAGAGAAAACCGTGCCTTCTGCTCCAAACTCACGTTCGTGGAGGATGGGTCATGAGTTGGTGAGACGGGATGGGAGCAGACACTATCAAGCTGAACACTATAGAATCCCCAAGCCTTTCTAGATGGGGTCTAGGCGATCCTCCCTGCACGTGGTTGACACCCTACAGGTCAATCGACGTAACCGAACCCAGTGGCGAGCTGGCTGTCACTTCCAAGCCGACCTCCCTGACTGAAGTTAGTGTGCCATTGTGTGCTGGGCTAGTGTTGAATAAGATTCCTAAAGGATGCTGGGTCGATCCAGATCCCCAGACGTAGTCATTTCAATGGTTTTCAAAGATGTAGACATCTTGCTCTCCCAGCCAATTTTACAGAGGTTAGACACATTAATGAACAACTTTAATTTCACTGACATTCATACAGACCGAAAAGTACCTTATGAATCAACTAGAGTTGGTTCCTAGGTATAAGTAAAGTGTATTCAATGAGAGTCCAGGTAGTATATTTTCGCAAAGGAAACTACTCACAAGGTTGCTGAAAACTCTTCGATGGATCATGAGGCGGCCTGTGTGCATCACATTCAGTTGTAGAATATCACAAACGAGAGATTCAGTTGAGCCTCTCGTGAAAACCAAATTGACTTGCAAATGAGTGTATTTCTCGAAAAGAGTCCAGGCAAACTTATTTGGCAGGAAAGCACCAGTCTCCACTACTGACAATATTACGACAGACTGGAGAATGGATGAAAGTAACACACGATTGAGCTTTGCTTTCCGGGTGAGACACGCGGCATTTAACACAGCGAGGCGCGGGGGGTTGCAACTATATTGATCGCAAGCCCAGAAAAGACCGAATGGACGTACTGAGGCATAGCCTCAGTACATTGTAGTAGTATGCGGGGGCGAGATGGCCCAAGTGGCAAGAGAGCGGATTAACTGACCGGAAGGTCTGTGGTTCGAACCCGACCTCTGCCTCGCGACTTCTCTTGTCTAGACTTCGGCACCCTGGCAGTATCCCAGCCCTCGTGCAACCTTTGGGTGGCATGGCAGCTAGTCAACCAAAGGGTGCTACAGCTGAACGACTGATGATATGCTTGAATGCACTGCCACAGTGCACAAGCAGAAAGCTAGCAAAAACAGAACTCCCACTTACTCTTCTGACACAGGCAATGAGTCGAATCCGAATACGTAAACCAGTTGACGGAGTAGCAGACCGTCGAGTAGCGAGGAAAATCGTGGGCGCAGTGCATTGTTCACCAGGTCAACAAGTAGAGACCTGTGGGTTTCGGCAGAAGATCTGTACAGAGAACGAGTATTAGGAAGCGATGATTAGGTGACGAACCATGTGCCGAAAATTGGATAGCCTTGCGAACAAACAAATGACCAACTGAAAACGCTGATAAAAAACCGTCCGTGTTCGCGCCGTTTACACCTATCTAGACAGGCTTACGAACTATGGATAAAGGATAACACTTGATGGCGCGGCAGAGGAGTATGAAGGAGATCACCAAACGCTTGGGTGCTGTCGGTGATACTCGCCTTCTAGGATGGGGACCGCGTGATCCTCACTGTGCCTGGTTGGACGCTACAAGATATGGCTGCCAACCGATGTCAGTGGCGTTCTTGTTGTCAGTTTCTATCCAGATCGTCTGAGTGAGTGTCTGGAGGTGTAGGCACCTCGGAATGATTGTGGTAGGCTAGCACTAAGTCCCTTCCCCGTCCACCCTTACTCTTTTCTTTACGATAAGGCTTTCAAATAAGTGATGGTTGTACGGCAGTTAAGCATCGGTGTTGAACACTGATGTCATGCTGTCGATGGTGATGATGGTGGTGGTGGTGGGGAACCACCAATCTTCCGTTTACCAAACACGTGCACTATCGACTGTAATCATGGAGAGTAACACGGAACGAGAACACTTATGCTCAACTGACGTAGAATCATGTCAATCTATTTGAATAAAGCCTTCTAATGGAAGGAAAATGAAGAGAAAGGGAGGGGAACTAGTGCTAGTCTACCACAAACATCCAAGGTGCCTACGCCCCAAACACTCCATCGGGCGATTTAGATACTAAATGACAGCACGAGTGCCACTGACATCGGTTTGCCGCCATATCGTTCAGTGTCTCCAGCCAAGCAGGAAGAGGCTTATGTGGGCACCATCCAGCAAAAGGAGAGGCTTATGTGGGCACCATCCAGCAAAACGAGCACCACTATCGACTGAGCTAATGAGGACGCTATCCTTTCCCTTACCTAATGAATTTGAACTTTAACACAACTTAACGCACTGGCTAACGGATTTTTCGTTGGTCTGTTGACTTCCTCATTAAGCCAGTTGTGAAACTTCGACAAAGGTCGGACTTTGATATAATCATGAAACGCAAAAGCGTTAGTGCAGATTATGAAAGTTGCACCTAGTCCATCGGTTAGGGGTTTGTGAAATCATGAAATTCTACTGCATAAGCGTGATGAGAGGTCACTTGCTTGACTCTAGCCCCAAATGCGTACTGCCTTTCAGGCTACATGTATCTGGATATAATGAATTTCCTCGTGCTTTCTACCAACTTGTCCATCTACTGCACATCGATTAAGAGTGGAAGTACAAGAATTATGTAAGAATTCAGACATCTTAAAAAAACATCCGCACCGATCAATCAACTTATAACCTTACCAACTGACAATGCAATCCCGAGGAAAGACTACTTACTCTAAAGATCAATTCACTCCAAAGCTGTGAGTGAGATCTTTTCAAAATAGCTACCTATGACATCGTCCCCAACTATTACCAAAGAAAATCCATGAAGTTTTTTCCAGAAAAAGACCCGGATATACAAGGATTCACTGGGCATTCATGTATTTCAAGGTCATACCGATAATCGACTAATCGCACGACAGGTGTCAGATGCCATCTGACTAATACCCGCGCCGGAACAATATAGCAGTCATACGTGATTCGCCGATCCAAGCTCCCGGAGTGGGGTAGCAGCTCATTAATCACCAATCAAACATGAACATACATGATAAGTGAGCCACTATATCCTACCGCACTTTCAAGCCTTTGCTCTGAGATTTTCTTGGAAGTAACAGTAGCGTTAAGTCGGTTTATAAACTCCCAGCCTCTACCACTTAACCTGTTCTAGTCCTTACAGAGAGTCAAGCTTCCGGGTTTTCTGTGCCCCAATACTTTCATGACAAATGTGAGAATCGTGCGTGATGGAACGCCCCAATACATCCCTCTTTCTTCAAAACATGGCAAAATGACATTCGAGAGTGCATCAGATCCCCGCCACGGCCGAAAGTGGAAATTTTTAGCTTAACTCTGTCCGTCACCCTCAACCAATGTCCCGGTTTTCCCACCAGTTTCTACTCACTTTTTCATATACCCGCCACTACAGCAAAGAAAATTCAAATATGTTTTCTTATCTTGGATACATTGAAACTTCCAGGCTTGGATCAAGTTCAATCCATTTTGTTCCGATTATACGCTCTATACTTAGCCCTGATCGTAGGCCTCGTCCACCCTTGCCTGTTCACTGTACCACTGAGTTTGCAGAAATTCCCATATGCTCCACATTCTTGAGCGTGGGTCCCTTCCTGGTCCGGCCAAAAAGTCCGTTCAACTGTAATACCCCTTCAATGCCTAGCTGTCATGCCACCCGAAGGAAGCACGAGGGCTAAGATACTGCCAAACTGCCCAAGCCTAGACAGGGGAAGTCGGGAGGCAGAGGTCGGGTTCGAACCACGGACCTTCCGGTCAGTAAATTCGCGCTCTAACTACTGAGCCATCCCGCCCTGAGACACAACTACCAACTCGTTCATACCAGATTCACCCTATCCAAAGTATTGGAGAACGTCTTTGTCAAGCGACTAATGCGCGACCATAAAATAAGGCTCTCCTGAACGACTGTCCGTGTGTTCCGAGGTGCCATCGCTCTACCGGTGACCAAGTGACTTATCTTTCCAAAGTGTGGTTGCCAAATTAAATTCCACGGGTACAACTAAAGTGGTGTACCTCAGACGTTTTCAACCAGATATGGTATTCGATCCCTCTGCATACATCACCATAGTGACTGGATGAAGACCTCTCAAATTTCGCCTTGGCAGTGTCACTCCCGGGCGCATTTCCTTCTGTCTATGGGTAATTTATTCTCGTTGGTTCTTGGCTGAATCCATGTCCGTGAAGAACACGCTACCCTCCATATTGATCGGTGATTTCCTTCACTTCGTTGTCAACGAAAATAATGAGCACATCAAAACACAGACCTTGTAAGCATTCATTGTTGGGGTTCAGTTGATAATACTAATAGTGATGAAAATAATATTAATCAAGCACATCCATGGTCCCCTTCCAGTACCTAGCTTCCATGCCATCCAGAGGAAGCACGAGGGATGAGAAAATACCGCGTTACCAAACATAAAAAGGATCAGTCATGATATCAGGGCCAGGTTCGAACCAGGGACCTAACGTCCGTGATTCGAACCCAACCTGTGCATGTCGACTGCCCCCGTCTAAGCTTGGGCAACAACCCCTCGTGCCTTCTTCGGTTGGCACAGCAGCTAGGCACCGAAAAGGTGCTAAAGCTGAACGACTTTTATGTTGCCAAATAAAGAAGTTCCTCTATACGGTGCGCATCGATACATGCCACATTTCGTTTGACATCAATTTTAGAGATATCCAAAGGAAGTACTTTTCCATAGTTTATAGAAAACCATTCCTTGATGATATTTTAGTCAGTTTGCTTTCCAAAAAATCATTTATCCTGCTGACAAATCCCAGAATTGCAATTCTCTGAAAATATTAACCTCTTTGAAAGCTGGCCACTTCAAAAGACATTCCACAACGATGTTTTTCATCAACTAGGCGAGGCGGCATGTGAGATCCATCTACACGAGAGACCGATGCCGGTTTCCACGTATGGGCTTATTATCGGGGCTTCCTGGAAAATAAAAAAAGACCAAGTTGATCTCGGGCGTTAGTGTAGTTATCCACCTCTGGAAATGACGCCTGAAAGAAGCGCCCGAAAGTGAACTATTTCCGGAGGTAGATTTACAATCTAAGCACACTTCACGGTGCCAGCTAACACCTGTTTATTCTGGAATTGACAATTTGACAAAACATCTTGGTCATTGGTGGGGCTTAGTACAAAATGACAGGAATACTACCCCAAGGTGTCACAGCCTCATGAAAGATTTCACGTCGGTGTCACACCAGTAACTGAATGGACTAGGAATACCTGTAGATGGTCTCAATAGTACGGTTTCTCTACCTAATCGAAACCATCTTTGCAGAATTCAAGATATTTGGTTGACCCTCCTCAGTTAAGAGCTCCTCAAAGGAATTGTTACTCAGAGATCAGCATTTGGTTCAGTTTACCTAGACCGTTTCTATGGTGAGGACGAGTATGTAAGTCGGTAGGGAAGCAAGTCTGTTAGAAAACAAGCGTTTGTTTCATTGGCTTTGGCTTGTATCACCAGTGTACGATGTCTAACACAAGGTTAACCAGCCAGAAGGCAGAAAATTGCATACTAAGGTTTCCTGATGCTGTAACACTTTTTATGGTTACAAATTGACAGACCGCTACGGTATATCTTCTGGAAATAGTGACCGGGATAGTGCACCACTAGAACACACAACCATCTTGAACACATTCTGACAGAGGTTGTCAGGACGCGCCCAGACATGAAAAAAGCACATGTACAGAGAGTGACGCATCCCCAAGGTCACCATTGCTAGGACACTTCCGCAAAGTAGGTGAGTTGGCGGCTCTCACCAACAACATAGGACCAGCGTAGTAGGCCTGAAACTGTTCACGACCGGAACGCCACCATTGGCTGTGCGGAACGAACAAGCGAACAACCATATTTGGCCATTATCATATATCATATATCATCATATATATTTACGCAGACGCTCTGTATGATTTGTCCTGACAATACAGCCGTGTCGCGAGTTCTCTGTCTTCTCCCTATCGCGTAGTCTGGCAGGCTCCTTGCAGGCGTAACCAATAGACGGCCACACATGATACAACAGAGGTCATGAATAAAAACTCTGCTGCTTGGGAGGGACTTCCACAGTTCTTCCAGGACATGAAAGATCTCACCCTTCAACCAGAGTAACTTATTGAGATCAGAAAAGCCGTCGCACATCCGTGAGACTTGCAACGGCGATGCGAATAGACGAATGCAGTCAGCTTATCGTATTGAATAAGAACAAAAAAGGAAATAATTGCGTGAGGACTACAGGGACCAACAATAGTTCATCTGACTTCCCAGCTTCATCATCTTTAATTCGCATTGTGAACGCACGATGCCCGACAAATGTTGCACTCAGCTTGTCCGGTATAAATACCCGAACGAATCTACTTGTGTCATGAAATAGTGTAGCAATCTTGCTGATCACATCGGCCGCTTGCTGCGACATTTACCTGGTCAATCAGAGAAGTCGCTGAAAATACTTGTCACTCGGAGGTCTTGCCTTACAAGAAAAACACTCTGGGAATAAGAAAACGTATGATTTGGGGTGAGTGTTCAAATAGGGAAGAATTACGAGTCACGAAAAGTGTTTCCTCGAGGGGAGGTTGTGTCTCTATTGCTGCTAATTGTGTTCTGCCACTTAGAACTGTCCAATACTCAATCGTTTAATACAAAGACACAGTAACCCCAGCAACTTAATCACGTTAAGCGTCTGGTAATAACGGTCCCCTTGGTTCACCTATTACATAAAGGTAACACAAATCACGCAGGCGCAGTACTCATCAGAACGCAGCGAAGTGTTTCAGTCTTGTCGTCAAATGGAATTCGTCGGGATAGGATTGCAGAGGCATCATTTCGACGCTACAACAGTTTGTATGCTAATGAACGGACTTGACTAAATCAAAATTAGTGGTCCATGAATTGTTCGGATGCCAGCCGTCCCTAATAACCGAAAATCACATCATTTGGACGGATGTGTCACATGCGGGACACGGGCCAAACGAAGGCATGCTCTGATTGGTCAGAATGCCAGCCAATCTGAGTCGAGCATCTTTGACTCGACGCTTCTCTCCCCCTCACGGAGATTCTGGTACGACCTTGTGGAACACTCTATGACTATCCTATAAATACAGTTGGAATAATTTTCCTCTGTCTCCATAAAGGGCTGTGTAGAGCTATCGTGCCTTTTGATATCCCATTGTGGGCGGAGAAGGAAGCCAAGGGACCGATACAGAGTTGCACGATCGTCACAACATGAAGACGTAAAACAAGCAAGCTGAAGGATGACACGATAATTACAATTTACGAACGGAACGGAGCAGGCTTAAATTTGAACAAAACAAAACGGAGGAGAAACTCACTCGTATTCTGTGCTCCAACGGTATGGGATGTGGCGGGACCCATTGGCGCTTCCGCTCAGTACGGTATCAATGGGAGATGTTCGTGACAGAGGAGAATCGGACGGGATGAGAATGGGAGGGATGAATAATGGCGGACCGGCGGATGTTCGGTGGTGGGTCATTCCACCAAGATAATCTAAAAATCGAACAGGCGCTGCCTCTAGATGGTAGTGGAAATGATGGTGCGATTGTTGACCCCCAGTAGTAGAATTACCTTCCTCCTCCAACTCAAAGCCCGGTGGGAGACCAGTAAGCCGGTGCGTTCCGTTTGCACTGCGCTGACTTTGCAACTCAGAAACTAGAGTTTCCGTAAAGTCAGAATCCGATAGTATGGAGTGAATGATGCGATGGGCCAGTCTTTTACACAAGGGGCACGAGGGATTGATACACAGCCACCGGTAAATACACTCAAAACAGAAAGTATGCATACAGGGCAGAACGATGCTTCGGTTAGCCTTCGGATCTAGACAAATGACGCATTCATCGTCCCCGTCACCTGTATTTGTCCTGTTTGCGTTCAAGATAGCACGGAATTCTTCGCTGTCCACGGCGACCTGTGATTCCAGTTGACTACCTGCCTCCTCCAACGTCGGGTTAGGCGGTACAGCTGCGGTGCGGGTCGGTTGAGAACGGCGCCGGGCAAGTGGATTTGTCCGAGTAGCTCTTGTACCGGAGCGAGTGGTTCTTGGTCGCACTGGTCGTGTAGTATCCCCACCCTCTATGCGCAGAATACGAATACTGTCGTCCAATCCGCGGTGTGACGAACGTTCACGAGTCGGTTGCCCCACCGCGGATGTTGATGACTGGCTCGAGTTATCTGGTTGACATGGTGGAGAGGTATTGCTAGACGAGAGAATAAGGCGAACAATTGGGGAACGAAGCAAAGCACGTCGTCGAGTTCGATTCATTGGTTTGGAATTGACAGAGACAGCACTCCGGACTTGTGCGCTGGAAGAGGCAAGAGACGGATCGTCCCAGGAACGAGTTCCACGGCGGGTTGTTGAATCCATCACTTCAGGCCTACGGCGGGATAGGGTATGCCCAAGCGAGTGCTAAAAGGTGAAGGACAGAGAACAACTGATGACAGGATGTGAGCATACCGACAGGGCGATGATATTGCGACGAAAGGTAATGAACGAGTGAGAAGTGGTGGTTTTGAAGTCATGTACGAACCGGGTGTGACTGATTTTAAAACGCCAACTGAGATGCTGCAGTAAAAGAACAAATGATTAATTGGAGCTGGATATCAGAGCACTAAACGGTGGTATAAGTACTTTGCGCTGGATCGGTCATGCAACAAAGAACCAGACCGTTGTTCCCGTGCCTCGAGATTTATATTTTCAAACGACACTAACTGAGACCAAAGCGGAAGATAATCCTCAAATGCATAACAATACGTATAATGAAAGAGATTTATGGTTCACTGACGAAAAGCCTATTAGTGTACCTTCCAGTTTTCCGCAATTCAAATGTTCCCACATTATGCGCTGATATTGGTTCAGGAGGGGGAAACAACCTTGATGAATCGAAAGAAGATACATGGAACCTTTTTCATAAAGGAAACTACTCAAAAGGTTGCTGAAAACTCTTCGACAGCTCACGACCGCTTTCGCCTAACTAATCGCGGTCAAAGGTCATCCCCGGCTACCAGCAACACACACGTAACACTACTGAGCGCACAGCCACTAACCCACCGCTACGCACAACTACGCACTGATGATGTCACCTCGACTAGTGATGGAACGTTTGCAACCAAAATGCCCAGCTCAGCGAACAAGCCAACGACCATCTACGCTACCTGAGCTACCGACATTCTCCTCTATAGAAAATCACAGACGTTTGTTCTTTCACTGTGATGCTTAAGATGAACGGTCTTGGGCCAACAATCTGGCGACAATTCATTAAAATGGTGGCAACCCTGGAATCTGAACGAGGTGGTTCGGAAAAAAACGTTGTTGTAAACCAACGGGGCTTGAAGCACACAGAAGAGGCTGAAGAAATAGTGCATCAGCTTTACGAAGACCACAAAAGTTGCAAAAGGAGCGACATGGATCCAAACACAAGCTCTTAAGGGATTTCTTACCATTGTTCAGATGCCACTGACGAAACGCTGCAAAAAATTCGCGGTTGGTAAAACACTAGTTGTGACCTGAGATTAGTTTGCGTGAATACAGCAGGATGCCGATTTAGTGTTTTGCTTATGTCAAAACGACAGGTTCGTTATTTGGGTCTGTTCAATCATGCCGTTGTCATAAAGCTACCATTGTAACGGTGGGTGCTACTCACAAAGCGTGCGAGTAGTATGCGGTTTTCCTATAAATCCGCTTCGCGTCTCCTGAAAAGTGAGATTTATTACGGAATTTGTGGAATTGCTTTGTAGCACTCGTTCACATTTGAGTGAGTCAATGAGTATCCAGGAAAGTTCAGAGAGACGCTTTCGAGAGGAACACGGATACTCAGTCTTTAAAAACAAGATGCATATGAGAGTTTTGCTTCCCTGTCTGTAACTGTTCAGTTGGTGTATTCCAATAACTCCGCAGCGAAGGCCTTCTTTCTTTCAACATCACTTGCAACCACTTTCTTCCGAAAAAACGAGTAGCCTTGCTATTAACATATTAGTTCGGTATATTTGAACGATTTAAGCGCAATAACTTAAGGAATTAAACCGGTGCCATATGTTCGTCAGTCCGTGTGTATTCTATGCGAAGGGAGCTTATAAGGTAGCCAATGTTGATTTTTATAAGATGATTACTTTTCACTAAACATCAAGAGACCTTCAGGGTATGGTAACGAACAGAGCCAACATACACATTAGATGCTAACCTGAAGTGCCGCCGTTGTCCGACGTCGGGTTTCAACGCGCAAAGACCGTCTTACAGGATTGATCACAGGTGAGGAGGATCTGGAAGACGAGGATGATGAAGACGAAGATATATATGAAGCCCCGATGGTCCCAACAATGTGCCCACCACCGAATGAACTCCTTGAACTGTCTAGATGGCCTAGGCGAATGGCGCCTGTTGTGCCCGCTTCCGAAGAATGAACGGTCCCAGTCAATCTCCGGCGTGGAAACATTCAGAAATACGAACGGGGAGGCCGTTATCTGGGCAGCGAATAATTTTGAGGGGCTGAAAGGTGAGAAGCGAGTTACTGCTGGAGACTGCACACGCGGTATAGAGCACATAATTAGAAACAGAATGGAAAACAAAGTGTTTATTGTAACTGACTAATCGCAAGCTTGCAACTTGCCATATCACATAAAAAGTACACCGAACGCAGCAAGGCTCGTACAGATTGATAAGCAAACGCGTACGAAGACAAAAACGGATAAACTTGCTTCACAACTCGAGAATGCGAGATGGAGAAGCGGTGTACGGAAAGCAAAAAAAAGTGGAGTGATCGGAAGCTGCGATAGGACAAGGGGAGGTAGGAACAGATGTCTAAAACAGTTTTTCAAACGTGGATATCTAAAGAATAACTTTGTGAGAAAAGTCAGAAAAACGAGAGGAGACAATAATGATGGTGGAATGGGAAAACAGTAGTGGGAAAGGGATGGAACGAGAAGTCAGTAGTTCTCTGCCCAAGGGTTTTCTTCCAGAAATGCGTGAACAACCTCCTTCATAATTCGGTTTGGTATAAGCTGATTTTCTGTGAGAGGCTGGTGGGAAATGGGATCAAAATGACCGACTTTGCGCAAATGTGCAAGGATGGAGCGACGATCGTAAGTGATCCCACTCGGGGTGATAACTGGATCGAGCATCAGTTCAAAACTGATGCGACCACAGAGGTATTCGGGAACTTCACGCTTCTGACGACGACTGTCAACCTGAAAGAAGAAACGGTGGGAAAGAAGTTTTAGATTTTCGGGATCAGCCGCGACAGAACAACCGAAACTGCAAGTATTGTGGCAGACAACTGGTAATATAAAAAAAGTTCCGTTCTCGGGACCAAAACGAGAGACCACCGTATTCATGGGAGTATATTCACCCTTCGGCTTGGAATCCTGCAGACGTAATATCATCTCAAAAGGAGAATGGAGGACCGATGTATCAGCCCACCAATAAGACGGCACCAAAACTCACAAACGGTCAAATGGCAACAGGAAGTTGGTGGAATCGCAATGAATGGTCATAGTTAGCAAAAAACTTAACGGAAGGGTTGAGTCATCAGGCTCCATTTTGTACCACAGATGGGCTAGGTAAAACGAGTGGATGTTCAACATGAGCGTTCTTTCTCTAACCAAGATATTGCGCCACACTCTCCGCTTTTCCCAGCGAGCTCAAAATTGGATTATTCATCCTCTCCCCCCCCACGGATTTTGCTTTTCCAAAGCTTAGTTTTGGTAACTAGAATAAAAGTGCAAAATGAGTGTTATTTTCGACGATGAATGGGAATAAGGTTAGTTCGCTGTTAAGGGGGAAAGAGGTCAGCTGTTGATGTTTTGGAAGATTCTGCTTTATTAGAGGGGCACGCACTTGGCTGGACAGCCAGATGAATCAACTAATTCAACAAATACTAAACGTTTACGTTTTAGGGAGTTCGACGCATTAAAACAATGTTTTGAATACCAGGATAGCTTGCATATTCGTAATACACTACTCGGAAGGTTCACAAATGTGTTCATCACCCGTCTTTAATTCTGTCCGAAGTAATGGGAAAACTTTGCATACCTCGGTAGTTGTATTAGCACTGACAGCAGTGTCTCATGAAGTCAGTGCAACAATCCCGAAGGCTCGATTCACGTTTGCTAATTTGCGTCACTTGTGGTGTCAAAAAGGCATCTCACTAGATCTTAAGGGTAGTGTGTACCAAGCTACAGGCTACCAGGCTACAGTAAGGGCTGTATCGTTGTATGGGTGCGAGACATGGCCTCTTCGGGTAGATGATGTGAGGCGTCTCCAGGTTTTCGACCACCGATGCCTCAGAAGCGTGGCTGGTTTCGGATAACGTCAGCGTATCAGCAACGAGGCGATTAGAAAACGGGTATTTGGTTGCTCTGTAGGTACTTCAATATGGGGGAACATCCAACATCATCGACTATGATGGTTCGGCCATGTGCTACGCATGGCGAAACATTGTCTACCGAGACCAGTGTTATTCTCCGTGCGTGTTATTCTCGTGCCTCCTTCAGGATGGCGCAAACCGCGAGGTGGACAGCACATGACTTGGCAAAAAGGCGTGAAAGAGATCACGAGACCAGTTTCTCCGTGCCTCCTTCAGGATGGCGCAAACCGCGAGGTGGACAGCACATGACTTGGCAGAAAAGCGTGAAAGAGATCACTCACGGTTTGGGTGTTGTTGGTGTTGTG